CTCTCACATGCACACAAATATATGTTAACAAATAATGCATCTTATTCAGAGAAGAGATGTTCAAATTAACATCAAACGATAGAAAATGTCATTAAATCTCACCAAACAAAAGATATTTCCTGGGAGAAAGTAATTTTGACTCAAACTCCAAGTACTCTAAAAGTATTCACAGTGAGACAGAATAGGGCAGGGGCAGAGAGGAAATTAACAAAAATTGAGAACATTAGGAGAGAGACGGTCTCAGACTAACAAGGAAGAATGCATAAATATCAGTTAACCGGGCAGGATATAGTTGCAAAGTAATGCAGATGGAAGTGACACACTATGACACAATAAAATTATTCATAAATGGACTAATTCAGCAAGGTGTATAACACTGACATAATCTTGAGTTGGTAAGCACCATTTAGAGATTTTGATAGGATCATCTGATTTTTATAAAAACACACTAAAATGCTTTGCTTCATATATTTCACTAAATAAATGAAGACACCGGGGCGGTGCAGTAACTTGTTGAATCCATACCTAGTTACTGGAAGAACCCTGGTGATAAAGCCTCTAATCTAGTCCTATTTTTACAATACCAGTCACATCCCAGGAAACGCCCCATCATCTCTTCACCTTCCCAGTTGCTGCCATGGGACCAGCTGGTAGTTAATGTTTCTCTGTATTACTAATAACTCCCTAGGCCATAACAGACACACCCAGGAACAGTGACTCAGGGAGGAACCAAGTCCCGAACTCAGCAGATGCAGCAGAGAGCACCTCAGGAATTACTCTGCCCTAATTCTCACTAGACTCTTGCTTATGTATCTTCTTGATGCCTATTTCACAAGAGTAAGATTCACATCTCCCAGAAGCAGCTAGCCTAGAATTAGGAAACAGAGGGGCAAATAGCATTCTGGTTAAACATTTACATATTCAAGACTATCAAGAGTTATAATTTATGGATATCTAACACTGAGTGGCTAGAAGAAAAATTACTTTAATGAAAGATGACATTTTTCAGTAATGAGAGAGGGTATTTTCATAAGAGTTATTCATAGTAATTAGGAATATATGCATATATCATCTTGGGAACACCTCTTGAGAGACAAATAATTACCTGGGAAAGTCTTGCTAGACGCTATCAGACTTCACAAAGTTGACCCAAATATAATTATGTCAACCACATAGTAAAAAATAGAAAAAGGTTAGAAAAATGGCCAGTAAGTACAAATATGGCCCTTTTAGGGTACACATAAGATGTTACCTGCAATTGCATTTTCCCAAAGGAAAATTCGAATAACAATATAAGCAAATAGAAATGTGGGAAAAGCAAAAGAAAAGGGGGAGGGGAGCTCTAAACAACTTCAAGTGACAACGGCAAAAATAAAATGAATAAAAAAAATCTATGGATTTCTAAAATATTATGAAGAGTATATCCTTCTTATAAAAGCATAATGACTTAAAGATTGTATTAAGATAGAAATTATAAAGATTAAGAAACAGAAACTCATTTATATTGTAGTTGAGGGGGAGGCTCTCTTGTACCAACTCTGTCAATTTCCACCTCCAACAGGAAGATGTTTTTCTACTACCACTGCAGCAAGGAGGAGAATCTTCTCCTACTCAGCCAATAAAAGACTGGTATAACTCAGCCAAAGAAAAGCCACTACCTTACAAATTCTCATTTTCCTCCAATGGATTCTATTCACAACAGCCCCTCTAAGTCCCTCATTCCCTTTATAAAAACATATTCGTCTCCTTTGTTCTCTGGATTTGTGCATGGTTCATGGTTAGATCACATGTCCCAAATGGCTCTTCATTTTTGTTCCTGAATAACCCATTTTTGCTAGAGAAACATCTAGCTAATTGTTTAAGGTCAACAAATTAATTACAGATAAATTAGTGAAATTCAAAAACAAAATATTTCCAGTAAAGATAAATAAAATATAGTATTTGTATTTACTTTCTCAAGGGACTGAAACATTAACTTGGTGGTCATGATTAGACTTCAGATGTTTAGACCACTAACAGAATTGCTTTTTGATTCTTATTAATTTTAAGATTTTTCAATAATATGACATTTGTAATCAGAAGTACCTTATCTCAACTGCAAACAGAAAAGTGAAAATGGATTTAAATTTTTCTCTGAGATGGCTTTCTGGCTTCTGTTTGCTGTTTTCTAGCCCTACTTGTTTGGCCTCGTATCTCCATAGAGTTTCATAATGTTGATTACCAAAAAAATATCCCTGAGAAATTTGGAGACATGAAACTTTCTTCTATCCATGAAAATATACACTAATCAGACATTTTCTGGAAAAAAGATCATCCTATTTATAATGCCATGATAATTCATTGAGAGTTACCGATAAAGAGAACTTGTCCTCTGAAAAGAGTTCAAAAACAGAAAGTTTATCCTGATAAATAATAGGCTTCCATTGATCCTGAAGAATTATAAGAAACTGACTTGTCTGCTGAACAAGTGATTGTCATGAGAACTGTGTTTAATATTTTTAAAAGCAATGTATTCTCACAGGTTTTTATTTCATAACATTTGCTCTTATTTCAAAAATTATCAGAGGACCTTGTCCAGTATGGGCTAGACAGTCTAAACTCTTGGAAAAGGAGGCCAATAATTTTTTCTTTATTTCTGGAGTGCTGGATCCTTCAAAAATCTTTAAATAAACATAGTGACATATGAAGAAATTTCCAAAATACTTCAGAAAAATATATTCCATGCATATATATATATATATATATATATATATATATATATATATATAATTTGACCTCAATACTTATTGCAGCTGGGGAGAAACTAACACATTCTTCAATGCTTTGAGGGAAAAAAAGGAACACGAATTTGCCTGTTATGATTTATATTCAACTACAATATTTGCAATTTACAAGGTTCAAATAATTACCTTTCTTTGAATTCATCTTGGATATGTATATACAAATTGAATAAAGGTAGAAATTCTCTTTCTTATCTTATGTCACTTTGATTTTGTGTAAAAGAAACCTAATACCACACTACTGTTTCGCAGTACAGACTTCAAGTTTCTCAGCTCATTAATGCACATGGGAATTCCCTGAAGACAATGACCAGACAGAGAATATTACTTGTAGAGTCTTTCTATATAAATAGCTGCCACGTTGAAAAGAAAAATACATCAAATGCTTGTGCCTACTGTTTAGTTTCTAGTTAGTGCTAGCCCAAGAACTCATGATACCTCCTGAATTTAATTTTGTGTCACAGAAATGCAATGCCCCACAGGAAACTAGCTGTGGTATGGGCTGGGAATTCGCAACTACTAAGTTTACTATGATGATGATAATAACAATAATAATCATCTTCACAATTGCATTTTTAAATTTTCAGTTAATGACACAGTGGTTCAAAAACATACTGTGTTCCCAAACAAAAATTAGCAAATGTCGGTACTTGATATTAATTTTACCTTGGCAAGGGCTCATCTATATAGTCTAAACTTTTGTTCTGTAGTTTTATAAAATAAAACTGTATACTTTGTTCACAGAGCATAGGGTAGTACAGTTTTCAAAATACTCATGGTTCAATTCAGGAAACTGAACTGACATTTCAATTCATTCAATAAAAGTTTGGATACCTACGGTATGTCAGATTCTATTGCCAATTTTTAACAAATGAAATAGATTAGTGCTTTCTTTAAGATAATCCTGCTAAAGGAGTCAACACAACTAAAAAGTCAGGTTATCTGAGCTTAAGAGGTTTGAGGAGAAAACTTCCATTTGACATCAGCCTCAGAACATTGTGTCTCCCTAACATGATTGAGAGGGTTTCAGTTGCCTGTTCTGCACTCTACAGTGTCACTGTAGATTTCAAGGATCTTGTACTTCATAAATGCATGCTTTTCATGCATTTCTGTGCCTTGTTGACATAAAAGAAAACAACTCCGTGCATGTGAACAAGGATCTTTTAGATCTAAATTTCTATATTACATAGTATCTGTAACTAAGAACTAGCCACTTTTATGCCCATACATTTTTATATACATGTATTTTTTTTCTTTATTGATTTTGGAGAGAGAGGAATGAAGAGAGAGAGAGAAATAGAAACATCAATGAGAGAGAACATCGACTGGCTATCTCCTGCATGCCCCCCATTGGGGATTTGGCCCACAATCTGGGCATATGCCCTGAACGGGAATTGAACCTGTGACCTCTTGGTGCATGAGTCGATGCTCAACCACTGAGCCACACCAGCCAGGCTGTCCACACATTTTAAACCTCTAGGTTGAGTTCAATAAACTGCTTAGGAAATTTTGTTATAGTCTCCAAAGTGCCTATCATGGTACTGAGTACATAGATAACTCTCTGTAGCTTTTATTTAAAGGATTCAAAGAAAATTTGTGCAGTTACTTATGAGCTCTAGAATAGAATTTCTGAGATTTATAAACCAACATCAATATTTCATAAGAAATACTGCCCCAAAATAGGAAGTACGTCAGGACCTTCCTTTGGAATTTTACATTACCATGCCGGATTTTATACTGATTCCACACAACTCAGGAAATAAATAAGTAAATGCATGATTTATTTAATAGTATAAACTATATCCAGAACAAAAATTAAGGCTCAGTCCTATTGAGAACAAAGAAAATTTCACCAGATTTACCAACAACATATTTCCTTTCAGAGATTAAGAAAAATTTAAGTGCTTTGAACTTTGTAAATATGTTAAATTATCTCATTCAGGTGTCCACACACCTTAGCCTTCATGGACATAAGTTCTCAGGTGTATGAACATTATAAAGATAATGAAATTTCCACCATTAGCAGGGCATCTACAACTGTCTCAGATATATGCAAGATATCAGAAGTACAATCTTCCTATATGTCCATATGTATATTACCTAAAAATAATAGGCATGGTTCATACATATAGAGATTACTTTACTATACATATGTGTTATACTATTCTGGTGCTTTTCCACATATTTCAAATATTTCACTTAGAAATAAAATATTTTTACCTTTCTTGCTTCTTTTATCATTTTCCGAATAGTTTCCTTAATTGTAAGTAGCTGTGCTCTTGGTGGATGAAAGAGGAGGTCTACATGGGTAACCCCTAAGAGTCCAGGCAACACATATGGCCAGCCCAAGTCAAGATCGGGAGCTTCCACATCAGATTCAATGGGCCAGTAAGTCCCTGAGGACGAGGTATCATCACAGGAATCATCAGTAGCATGTACTGTACTTTGTGCAATTTTTTGGACATTATTCAAAATATAATTAACTTCTTCCTCAGCTAGAAAGTCTGATACTCGCTCCTTGACAAGAAATTCTTGGTATGCTTCTAACCCATGTTCAATCAGCGTATCGATGGCTACTCGATAGTATTCCTTGTAGTGAGGCTCAATGTAATTGTCAGATTTACACTCATCATTCAATGAGGACAGCAGTGACGAAGTCTCCATGCTTGCAAGTGTTTGACAACAGCACTTTCAAATGTCCATTTGTGCAGCGAGAGGTATCTGGGTTCTGAAGAGAAAAAAATTAAGATCAGTTAGAATTCTGTAATCAAATGTTTTATGATCCATGTCAACTACCAGTTATTTACTCATTTCTACTACCTGTAGGTCAATAATGACATGCATTTCATATCAGAAGTGCCATTAATTGCCCCATAATTCTAACACTATCAGAAATAGATGTCCTTTTATAGACTATTAGTTGATTTTCCATTTCCAAGGCCTCTACTTTCAGTTCTCTTCTGAGGAAATACATTTTCCTTCTCTGACATCCAGAAAGTCCATGTTCTTAACTTTAGCCTGATAACTACACATGGTGCTATCAGTTTCTATAAGCCTATTTGATTTTGGTTTTAAGATATTTAAAAATGGAATTAGAATGCCATCAGTACCTGGCCAGCCATTGATCTAAGTCTTCACTGAGTACTTGTTATGCATATAATCACATACTAATGAAATATAAAAAGCACAAAACACTTGCTTTCCAGGAATTTATTAATTAGATAAAGAGGCAAAATGCACACACAAAGCTATTTGTTACTACTTTGAACAAAGGTATTTATTGTAAGGGCCAAAATAAGCACTGCCTGCCATCAATACTGTTAGATAAAAGCAAGGAGAAATCAATATGGAATAAAGGACTGATGGATACCCCTGTGCAGGAGGCGGGCCTCAGGTGAACCTGGGGTACTGAGTAAGAATAAAATCAGGTGGCAAGAATGTTTTCATCTCACACAAAAGTGAAAAACAAACAAAAAGCACAGAACAGGTATGAGTTTGCACGGTCAGGACTTAGTGAAAAAATGTGGTCTGTGAGAAAGCAGGTTCCTTTCAGTAGAAGTAGGAGATAATGCTGAATAGACCCAATGGAGCCAGGTGTGAAGAAACACAGGAGATTTTTGTGGTTCAGCAAAACTTGAAAAAAACAGACAAACAGTCTGGCAGAGGGCAATGGAGGAGAGACAAGTAGTTAGGAGAGTCTTCAGCATTCAAATACAATGAAGAAGTGATACGTGTATTCAAGAGTTGGTTCAAAGGAAGAACTGAGATCTGGTGGCTTGACAGCGTATAGGTGATGGAGAAATTTAAGATATTAATATAATTCAGGGATTTCTCTGAGGAATCAAAATCTGCCTATTCAAGCTCATACCCCATCCTTCACAATGCCACACAATGGTATTCATTCAACCACTCACTGTGTGAGATACTGGACTGGACTTTATTTCACTCAAATAATGGACTTTCCAGGCTTTTGAAATCATGATCTCCATTGTGAGGATAGAGATAAAGTACAACTCTGTGATGTGCTGCAAGCATTGAAGGGCTAATTTGACCACAAACATCTTTGTCAGTGGCCTTGCCCTACCTTTATTTACTTTTTATTTATTTATTTTTAATATTTTTTTTCAATTACAGTTGACATGCAATTATTATATTAATTTTAGACATTTATATAATTTACAAAGTAATCACCCAGTATGTCTAGTGCCCATCTGAAACTATATATAGTTATTATAATACAGGGTGGGGCAAAATTAGGTTTATAATTGTTCATATGGAGAGCCTCACCCTAATTTAAAATTTTCCATGTAACTCAGCCTTTTCAGATTCAGGCGTACAAAAATTTAAATCTGATTGGAGTGGGTAACTGAGGAACCATTAGCATTTATTCATTCCTCAGCTCAAAATATGTGATAAGAGTCACTAATCATACAGAGAAGTTGAAAAGGAATAGACAACAGGGTCACAAGTTTTGCTGGGCAGAGACCAAAATAGATCCAGCATATACTAAGCAGAGCTGAGGAGCAAAATAAGAAGTCCACTTTGCTGTTTTAGTGGAAACAATCCTGTCCCCATCTCTAGGCTCAGAATTTTCCTTAACACAGTCTAAAAATATAGAGAGCCTAAAGATTAAATCTGATGTAAGAATAAAGACAGACTATGTTCCTGCTACTACTGGCATGGCTACGGATGCTGCTGAACATTCTTTAATGCACAGGACAGCCACCTACATATCTGGCCCAAGATGTCAAGGTTGCCAAGGTAATCTTCAGCTTGTTCACTTTACATGCATGGTATCATACTACTAATCAATGACCTTTTCAGCATTCATTAAAGTTTTCTTTTACATGGAGTAGCCATTTGTAACAAAGAAGAAAGGTTTGTATTTATTTAACAGAATAAATCCATTTGATCAAAGTATACTTTCCTAAGGTTTAGTGAAGTGTGATTTTCATTTGGTATATGCAGACTATGACAGGACAAACATCCAGCGATCGCATAAAAATCACATTTATTATTGGTAGATGTTAAAAATGGCAGGTAACTACTGGTTGTTAAAAAAAAAAATAAAAAATCTTAAGTTTTCTTAGCACTTATATCTTCATTTTAAAATTTTAACTTTTGAATTCCCATCACATGTGATATTAAAAACCTATTACCTATTTGGAAGTTAAAATGCATAAAGTACTTTTAAAAACTGTATTCATTTCTGAGTTTCATCAATGCAGATATATACTTTGCTGTTGTAAAAAAATTGTTCTTGAACTATGGGTAATCTCAGAAATCATAGAGATCAAGAGAACTATGAAAGTAAAATAAAACCACAAAGACCCAGTTGAAAAGTTAATCATGAAAGAAACAAAAATTAAAGATGAGAAAAAGTAAAACACTATAGGACTAATCAAATAGCAATGCCAGATACAAAGCCAAAAACTATATGATAAAAAAAAAAATGCAGTACCTGTGAGTATGGAAGTTGAGATAGTAGGTACAAGGGTTAAGATAAGAAATAAACACACTTGATATTGTCCTACTGAAGAAGCAACACTCTAACCACTGTCTAGAGATATATGCATTTATCATCTCAAAGGTTGTTTTGGGGAAGGAACAATCTACAAAGAAATTTTAAAGGAGAACAGCAAGGTCAGGGCACTTGCATGAATGGATACTGCAATCAAGCAGAACCTGTATTTAGAGACAGACTTAACATCGAACTCTCAAGAGTTCGATCACTGAACATTTGAAGGGCTTAAATTGAGGATAAAATTAATTGGGTATGCCTTTAGACATACAAAAGCACATTACTCTATTAATAACCACTAAACACTCCTAGAAAGTATATTAGCATACACAATGGAGTTAATGAGTAGAGAAAAATAAGATCTCGCTATGATGTAAAAGCTGGACAACCTGCTAGGCTCATCTACTAGTTAAGTGACTCATTCCAGAAAAATAGCCTTATATAATAAGAGAATCACAACCATGCCTCAAAACCATTACAAATTGCATTTAATAGTAAATGTTTAATGTCATTTTTGCAAGGTATAATTTCCAAATGTTAAATATGTAAATACAAAGGATACAAAACAAGGTGTAAAAAATTAGATTTCAGAAGAGGTTGCAGTTTCATTTTTTAAAATTAAATATGCAAAGGACATATGATACAACAATTGCATGCCTGGGATTTATCTCAGAGAAATGAAAACTTATCTTCACACAAAAACTGACATTTAATGTTCATGGTGGCTTTATTCATAGCAACCCAACAGGAAACAACTAAAATGTCCTTCAGCAGGTAAATATTAAACTGTTGTGGAATACTAATCAGCAATAACCTGAACAAACTATTGATACATGTTATAGCTTAAATATCCAGAGAATTGTGCTAAGTAGAAAAAAAAAATATCCCCAAAGGTTATGTGCGTGATTCCATTGATATAATATTAACAAAATTATAGAAATGGAGATCAGAGTAGTGGCTGCCAGGGTTCACCTCCCTGAGTCATTCTAAGAAAGATGTATGGAAGGAGAGAGGTAGTCGTGACCTAGAAGAGCAAGAGCTGTGCCTTTTTGTGGTGATGGAAATGGTCTGTATCTTGACAGTAACAATGTCTATGTATTGGTTGAGATATAATATTATAGTTTGGCAAGTTACCGCTGGGGGAAACTGAAAAAAGGATATAAGGAATCTGTCAGATATTTCTCTCAACCACCTGCGAATGGACAATAATCTCAAAATAAAAAAGTTTAATTGACAAAAGCATACCAATGAGCAATTTCATGGGCCTTGAACAGAAAACAACAACAACAATAGATAGAATAGAAGGTGAGAGCTCATCTGTAGGATCAGACTGCTAAGTTCAAAGGGAGCTTGCCCAATTCCAATGAAGCTCTTGGACAGGTCACTTATGTCAACAATAGTTTTTTAAGATTCAAGAAAAGATAATGATTCTGCCATACCATTAGCATTGTTGTTCACTATTTCGGCAACTGCAGTATTAAATAAACAGCCAAATCTAGTGTCAATTTATTTATGGTTTCTGATCTGAGATTCACTGAAAATACTTCTGAAATGTCAATGGAAAATGTTTCAAAGAGAAATTACAATGTTCTTAAATCACAAATAGTCTGAGGTTATGATTACTGTACTTAACTAATATGTAAGCAGAAGACCCAACGTGTCACAGCTGCTAATATCTCTGATGTCCCTTTTCCAAAGTCTATTTAAGGCTGTTTCTGTTCAACTATTGAACACTGTTATGGATTGAACTGTGTCCTCCATCAAGATATGTTCAAGGACAAATCCTCAGTACCAGTGAATGTAATCTTATCTGGAAATAGGGTCTTCTCTGTAGATGTAATCAAGTTAAGATGAGCACATGTTCAATCAGAGTGGGACCCAATCCAATATGACTGGTGTCTTTATATAAGGAGAGAGTTGACACAGACAAACACACAGGCAAAGGCCAGGTGAATACAGAGGTGGAGATCAGAACACCACGATCCATTGCAACACCAGAGCTAAGAGTAAGGCATGGAACAGATTCTTTCCTAGAGCCTTCAAAGGGAGAACATGGTCCTGATGATGATGCATCAATTTAGGAGTATTTACAAGCGTCTAGAACTATAAGAGAATAATTTTTTTTTTAATTTTGTTGTTTTATTTTGTTACAGCAGCACCATGAAGCTAATACAAATACACATAAATACTTTTATTTTTA